TGTTGCACAAGCACTTACATTTGTGAGGGGAATTTCTTTTACCTCAAAATAATCTTTGACCAATTTAAAAATCGACGATCCTTTTGTATCTGTGTTCAAAGTTCTTGTAAACAACATTTCCTCGTTAATCTCCTTACTCTCATTTATGAATCTCACGTAAGCTAAAACAGCTTTGTTATCTATCACAGTTGATTCATCAATCTGCAACGCAAATTTACCTTCTTTCAGAAATTTGATGAGTTTTGATTCAACGTCGGCGGCAATCTCATCAATACGCCTGGAAACAGTATTATTGCTTAGAGAGGAACAGAGTGACTTATCAGATTTCCGCATGCGATACCAAAACGTATGACGAAAACGATCCTGCACTTGAATTTTTTTCTAATTTTTAACTATCATAATTCTTTGTCTACACCAGAATCATAGGTTTCATATATATTTTCAATTTCAATCTCTAATAGCTTTTATTATTAATATTATTAGCAATTTTTATCTTTTGAGTACTCGTCGCCCCCTGATCGCCCCCCTAAGGATAATCTCCCCCTTGAGAAGCTCTATCACCCCCTTTGGGGCGATCGCCCCCAGGTTGGGAACCACTGATATAAACTATATGAATCTACTAATATGAAACAAACAATAAACAAGATTATGTATTTTATTATTAACACATAGCAACGGATATAAAAGAGAAAAAATTCATCAGATTAAAAAAAAAAAAAAAAAATTGTGTTAAATATACAAGTGTTAATTCCATCTAAAATATTTTAGATGCAGAGAAATTTAGAGATTTTTATTGTCAATAAAATATCAAAACAACCAAAAGTATATTACACCAATAACTCTAGATTTAATTGGCAGCAATATTTTTCACTAATGATTAAATTCATATTAAATGGACTTTAATAAAAAATATTTTCATCAGGTTTAGTAATAACAGATACTGAATTAATTTAGATATTAACAATATATTCTTTAGAATATTTAACAGTAAAAAAATTTCGAAATTTTTATTTTTTTGAATACTTAAAAAGGAAAAGCTTCAAACTGGCTATTAAACATACATACACACAAATTCCTCTTCACTCCCAATTGGAGCATAGGGCTCCTATCATAGATTTCTATCTCACTCTATTTGTAGCCAGACATTTTGCCACTCTCTATGTCTTTCCCATTGTATTTAATTTGCTTACAATCATACTGCCCCAAGTATTTTTAGGTCTTCCTCTTTTTCAATTGCCCAGAGGGTTCCAATCAAAAACTTGTTTTACTTTAAATTTTTTAGGTTTACGTAGAATATGACCAATCCATTTCCAGTTAAATTTATTATCTTTGAGTTCAAAAGGTTTCTGTTTCGCTTTTCTAAGAATTTCTGCATTACAAATTCGATGGAACCACTTGATACGCAAGATTCTTTTTAAACAATTAAATTTTTTCATGTTATTTTTATTGCAGTGCCATGTATCAGATACACAGAGTAGGGCAGATTTAACATTAGTATTGAAAATTCTAATTTTTGTTGAATTCGTTAGGTTTTTGTTTTTCCAGAATTTACTAAGAATAGCGTAATTGCTTTGGGTTTTGTTTAATCTATTTAGTATATCATCGTCAGTTTTGATTATTAAAAATGAGGTTTAATTCATTATTTAGCAAAAATACTTATTTAAATATTAAAGGAAGTAAGAAATTGAATAAAAAAATCAATTTTTAAAAGCACTTCTTCATTTGTCAGAAATTTTATCAGTTATAGATATTTTTTAGAAATATATAAAAAATTACGAAATTTTTGTTTTTATTAAATCAGGAGAAACTGGCAAAATAACATAGAGTTAGGAGTTGTGAGCATGGATTTAAAAAAATAAATAATATTTAATACTAACAGTATCTTCATGGAAAAGTGCAACATATGAAAGTATTCCAGGTTTTTCTAGTCTAGTTGATGGAGCAAGTGAACGAATATGCCATACACCAAGAGTTGGAGCACCTCCACACACCTGGAAATACATGGAATAAAAATTTTTTTTTATAGATATCTTTAAATACTCAGTAAGAGTATCAGTTGTTACATTCTTCTATATCAGCATTGAAACTACAGCAGTCAGTACTGATTCCTAAAATTAATCTATACAAAATATAAATTAGACGAAAATCATTCAGTGAAACTATACACATAAGGTTGCGAAAAAAGAAAATTTTCTTCATAGAACTCTTAATATACATCAGATAAGCAAGAATGAATTTCACAGCAAATAAAAAAAAAGAAGCTATATTTAAAGAAGCTCTACTATGTTTTTCAGAACAGATATGTATTTAAATCTATCTGAACAGAAATATTTTTGATTTCAAGTATTAGTGTTAGGGCAAAATATGTATTTCACCCGATTGGAAATTTAGTTGTAGGTGCAAAGAACCAGTAACTAAGAAAATATTAGCAGTCCATACAAATCTTCACTGGCCCATTTACATGTCCCTGTAAGTTTTTTTTTTTACATGCAGATTATAATGCGGAAAAATAATAACGTCCACAATTGTGAGGGTCTGTGCAATTCTATGACAAAAACATAGATTAAAACACAAAACTGAAAACAAAAGAACATACCATCCCTTAACATTGATTGCTGGCCGTGGGGCCACTGATAATTAAAACTTGGAGCTCTCTGTGGTTGCTCTGAGTGAAATCTTAGTAATCCCAGACAAACAGATTTTAATTTCAAGCAGTGTTTCAACGCCATTTTAAATTATCTGTTTCAATAATATTTTTCATATATTCTAGCTAAATACACATTTGCAAATAAAAATCAGGGAATTGATCATTTACCCTATTTTAAAAATATTGTATAAGATTCTTTTACATTAATATAGAATTCTTTCAAAGTATGAAAATTTGACAAACAAAAATATTTTTTGTTAAAAAAAAACAGTATTTTTACAAAATGTTTGCCAAGTTCTTTCAAATTTTACATATGCAACTCGTAAAAAATTATATAAATATTAAATGTCAGAGCGTTGTGGTGCCTTTTCATTACTCAAAATATTAAATAAATCAATAAATGAAATTCTTCATAAGTTAATGAAATTATCAATATAAATAAATTGAGGCTTCGAAAAATACTTGCTAATAAAAAACACATTCAGTGCATACAAAAGAATTTATGTTTTTAAATCAGGCTATATAATAATAACAAAATGAAATCAATGAGAAAATGACTGATTCATCAAAGATATCAATTACCCTTTTTATCATTGATTTATCAGTGAAAAAAAAATGAATGTATCCAAATTTTTTCTACTTGCCAAAGAGTTAACACAGTAATACTATCAAGGAGTTCAATGAACAGATTTTGAGAAAACTGTAAATTTAATATATACTTAAATGAAAGAAAAATAAATGACATAATTGCTTTTAAATAGTATAATATATTTATTTTACCAGCCAATCATCAGAAGAATCAAATCCAACACAACCTATCCATTTTCCTTGTTCAGGTCTATTCACAAGCTGAAATATTAATAAAGGAAATATAAAGATTGATGATGGTTACTAGTTAATTTTTAAAATTTTTTCTAACTACCGCAACAAGCATTAATTGATTTTACTCACATTGTGCTTGTAAGGTTCTAGGACATGAATAGCATTGCCTCCTTTTCTTGCATCTGTAAATATATTACAAAATTATTATATATTAATGTTCAACAATTTATTTTTATAATGAGAAACAATATTGTGCTAAGTAGAAATATTTCAGTTCTCTGCTCAAAAAGATAATTTAAAGTTATTTCAAATTAGCTCAACCTTCATAGTTAAAATAGCAAAATACACGTCATATGTGCAACAAAGCTCGCTTGTTAAAAATTAATATTACTTTAGCAAGTATTGCAATTAATAAAATGAAATATTTTATTCATTTTCAATTAGTATTTAAAAGATAAATAAACCATAAAAACAAATATTATACTTCTAAAATTAAGAAAATATGAGAAAACATACTCTTTTTAACCTGGTAATTTAGATAATTAAAAAAATTCTGTGTAAATATTTCCTAAATAAAATAATTTGCTACAGTAAATAAAACTTTACTTTTTCATTACTAAGTAAATTATATGTAAAAAATTAGAACCACGTTCAGAATTGGTACATTATAAACTTTCTACGATTAAAATTTGGCTTTGAATAAAATTTAACCTTTAAAAAACAAATATAATTATAGAGCTCCTTTTGAAGACTAGGTTTGGAGAAAAGTTTCCTTTTCATTTCTGAAAAATATGGACTGTAAAAGATATTTTGATTAATTTATCTACGGATAATGATGCTTATGGTAATTTCCAGATTACCATAATGCAAAATAAAATTTTTTTTAGGCTGAACTAATCCAATATTGTATCAAAGGCGAAAGTTGAAAAAATTCTCAACACAATTATAAAAATAAAAAGCACTCCTGATAGTCTGGAATTTTTCATGGAAGACATTAGGACCAATTTTGGTGTATAACTTTATCAGAGCATTTGGACTCATGGATTTGATATAGTTGAGGTTATATTGCGAAGGATTGAAAACAACAACAAAAATAAAAAGGAGTATGTCTAATTTTTTTCTATGAAAAATGGATCACAAAAACAAGTGAAAAAATAGAAAATATGCATATTATAAGGATTGTTTCAGAAATATTTAGTTGGAACTAGAGATGCAGATTATATTTTTTAACCTTCATCATACCTCTCACTTCGTCCAAGTTTGGTGGAAGTTAGTCATAAGACTGAAAACATTCTTCTCTTTTTTTTCCTCTCAAGATTGCAAACATATATAATTTTATTATTATTAAAATTAAAAAAAGAATAATATCAAGAAATTAAAAGTGAATTTTTTAAAGATTGGCAGCATCAAAAAAAAATCTTTAACCATTTTAAATTTGTTAAAAATATTTTGATCAAAATTTTAAATTTTATTTAACAAATAATAAAAGTAACAGATGCCATTTATTTTTATTATATATTTATGATATAAAAGTATAAATTAAACAAAACAGGCTATAGGATGAACTATGTCTAGAGAAGAGAAAAAACTTTTAAAATTAAAAATAATACGTAAAATGATAAATGAACAGACCCCAAAGTCTCATCGAACCATCTTCACTCCCAGATACACATTCTTGACCACTGTTTCCAAGATCTATACAATTTATGCTATCTGTATGTCCTTCTAAAACAAACTAAATGTAATGTGCTTAAACAGATGCATAATATTCTGAGAGTTTATTAGTATTGCATAGATCAAACATTTATTAGTTTTACAAAATACATTTAAAAAACAATGCTACAAAGTAACAAAATACAACATATTGATTTATTGAAAAATGAGCTACAATTAAAAAAAAGTAAGAGAATGGAGTAACCTTTCATTATTTTTTTTTATATTGAATCTATAAAATCCTTTACATATAGACACATAAATATTTTATATTACATTACAAAAACACATAAATATTATATCACACATACATAAAATACATAATAAAAAACCTCTAATACTATATAAATTAATTCATATTAAAATATCTTTATTTTCTATTAATTCCAAACTATACCACCAGTAATATTCAACTCCCATTCATTTCCTTTCAAGAAGTCAATTTTTAAATTAAACAAGGCATTTCTTAAAAAATACCTTTTATAAAAGCTTGTCCCAGCAGACCATTGATTCCACTTGACGGAAGTCAATCAAATCACATAATTTCCCCCCACTTCATAAAATATAACTCTTACTGAGAGCTTCTAGCAACTCTTCCCTAAATAACCCTTATTAAAATCAAAATATGAATATTTTTTGTAACTTATGATTGCACACACTGCTTGCTTTGAATTTGTAATGTTTTAAGTATGGCAGTGGTTTCCAAATTTTTTTGAGTCATGGCACCCTTTTGCAAACAGAATTTTTTAATGGCTCTGTACTGTAAACTATGACTCATAAAAATAAATAAAGCTCCTGTATCTGTAATACAGTATTATGCCTATATTTGTCAATATTTTCATAATCATTAACGGGATAGACGTGCCTGCAAAGCATTACACCATTTTCAAATTTTGGCATTAACCTGGATTCTGCCTCCTCATCTCTGCCACTCCACATTTAGTGTTTTCTGATATTTGTTTCTTATTACAGAGAAACCCTGGGTTTTGCCTGAATAATTAAATATCGCTTCTTTGCCTTAAGTAACATAAAAAATTAACTGCTTCATCAAATATATGTAAAGTGTATTACCAAAGTAAGTTTCATGATTACCAATACTGTGTAGATTAATTTTTTTAATACTACCAATTACAAAAGACATATACTTTATAAATCTTGTTCCATACTCTTAAATGTGCCATTTTCCGAAGAATCATCCACATTTTTAAACATGTGCAGTTTACATATATATATATATATATATACATATA